AATGTTATATATTCGTATTAATTTCAACAAAATCCTGGATCATCTCGATAAGCAATACCTAGTTACTGACATCTTGCAGATTGCTGTAGCGCCCCCACTTTTACATATTTGATTCATATAGCAATTCTAAATAATATTACTATGTTTATTTTCTGTGGGGGCATGCCCCAACTCCCCCTAGACTGAACTACCTTTAGCAGCACGAAATCTGTTTTCAGCATCTCCTCATACTTTCAATATCTCATTGTAAAATCTGCATGTCTGACCAAGCACCCTCACTTTGTTACTCCTACCTACACCACTCTCTTGTACATGTGTAAGTCTAATAAATGATATGTTTATTCGCACACCAATAAATAACACTTGCTAATAAATCACTACACCCCTCGGTATTACAAATCTTGAGATCTTCTCAAGCATTTAACTAATTTCAACAGGAAGTGCAATCGGAAAGTGCTCTTTGACTTGTTCCCTACACAACACTGATGTTGTAATATAATGATACATTTACTCAAAGTGTATCGTTACATTCGTCCATACAGGTGTTACTTCAAACGGTAACAGCTGCACTGATTCTCAAAATCTATAAGCTACTCAAATTTTAATAAGACATAACAACTGTAGTTTCCGTACAATATATTTTATTACTCATATTGACACTAAATATCTGAGGAGAAGACATTGAAATCCAAGTAGTACACAAGCATGAATTTGTAACTTCCTGAATTTCAAATTCATACGTATGCACAAGCTTGAACACACACGTATTTTATCTAATGCCACGTATTTTATATAATGCCATAAAAAAGTGAATTCAAAAGTTTGAACTTATGACATAAATCTCAGAAACTATATAAGCTAGTGACTGCTGTCTGAAACGTTCAACTTTACATGTCGTGACCGTTATCATATACTTCGTATAGTATCTTACTGATTAGACAGGTTAACAGTAATGCTTCTGAAGAGACAAACGTAGTTTTTAGCCAGAATTAAAACGGAATGTTTTATTATATACCATTTTCTAAATGAAAAAAAGGTCGTTTTAGTTGACAAAAAGATGACAAATGGCAAAAGCAGAAGAGTCAGATGTAGAATCTAGAATCTTGCAAAGATAATTCCATGTGTGAACATATACATTGTATAATTTTATCAATAACAGTAACTTCATGCCAATGATAATATCTTCCTTCTTACAACTATTTCTTAACAAAGATAGTTACTTCATACAGTTACTTACAACCAGGATAATTAATGCCTTTATTCAATTACTTCTTACCAACATCAATATCCTCACACAGTTACTTCTTACCACCATAAATATCCTCACACAGTTACTTTTTAACAAGGTCAATGTCTTCATAAAGTTACTTCTTACCATCATCAATATACTCATACAGTTACTTCTTACCACCATAAATATCCTCACACAGTTACTTTTTAACAGGGTCAATTTCTTCATAAATTTACTTCTTACCATCATCAATATACTCATACAGTTACTTCTTACCACCATAAATATCCTCACACAGTTACTTTTTAACAAGGTCAATGTCTTCATAAAGTTACTTTTTACCACCATAAATATCCTCACACAGTTACTTTTTAACAAGGTCAATGTCTTCATAAAATTACTTCTTACCACCATAAATATCCTCACACAGTTACTTTTTAACAAGGTCAATGTCTTCATAAAGTTACTTCTTACCACCATAAATACCCTCACACATTTACTTTTTAACAAGGTCAATGTCTTCATAAAGTTACTTCTTACCACCATAAATATCCTCACACATTTACTTTTTAAAAAGGTCAATGTCTTCATAAAGTTACTTCTTACCACCATAAATATCCTCACATAGTTACTTTTTAACAAGGTCAATTTCTTCATAATGTTACGTCTTACCAATATCAGTATCCTTACACAATTACTTCTTACCACCATAAATACCCTCACACAGTTAATTTTTACCAAAGTCAATTTCTTCATGAAGTTATTTTTATCAAGGTGATGCTTCACACCAAGTAGGTCAGTATTTTCATCAATAATTTCAAATAGTTATTTTGTAGTAAAACAAAGTTCTCAAAAATCACTTCTTATCAAACAAGTACAATTAATTACACAGGCCTACGATGGTTTTACTGTCTTGAAATGTTTCCATGTTCTACAGTATATGCTGAATCCGAAAATAACATCCATTTTTCTCCATCGCGTACAGATTTTTCACAAACTTCATAACGTAATACATAAAAAAAGACCACAACACATAGTTTTGAGACTGAAAAACGTAGAGTTCACAAAAAAAATCAGGATGAATGAGGATGCATACTCGTTTGACATCAATGTTCTTCCCTTTTCTTCAGTTTGTTTTTATTTTTGTTAACAAACATAATAATAAAAAAAATGTTAATTTTAATAAACGAAATAATAATTTGATCTAAGTAAGAGTTTCTTGCTTCTTCCCGATTTGTAAAAAGATCCTTAGGTGATAGAAAAAATTAATATTATTTTCGAACTCTGCGTAGCTGAAGTATAGAAAATCCGTTAATAAAACCAAAACAACTTCTGTGAAGTTTAAATTCGCATCACTGTGTTATCTTCAAATGTGGTTTCTTAATAAAAAAATAAGCAGAGTTTGTATTTTACCCAAACTAACCTTTCTACTAACTGTTGTAAGATTTTATTTAAATCAATCCCAGTAACTCTGACAATTTAGATTGCCCAAATTTAAAAATTTACAACTGATCCTTCCTGCCCATACTGAAATATAGTACTAAAATAGTCCCTCCAACTCTTAGTATGACACATTTTTCTAAACTAACCCCCTCCCTAAAGCAGACTGAAATGTCTCAATAAAACATTTTCCACGTGCAGTCTGGGATTTTTTTCTCTGCCAAAGTAGCCTCCCAACAGTTCGCTAAAACGTGTTATCAGTTTTTACCTTTCGACACCTTGCCACGTTTTGATCTGCCTGGTTTTGTAGTTGCAATATGTTAAAAACCTAAAATCAAGGACTATAACCATGTTCTAAAAGAAATAGGTGGTAAAAAATCGCCCGTGAAGAATAACATCAGTTGAGACGTAAACAGATAAGGACTGTCACCATGTTCTAAAATGGAATAGGTGGTAAAAAATCGCCCATAAATAATAAAATCAGTTGGGACGTAAATAGACAAATTTACCTGGTCTCAAGTGAACACCTTCCAAGATGTTTTAAAACTAATATTTCTAATATAATTCTAGACCACCTCTGGCGGTTACGAAATATCTTTCAATGAATTAGACATCCTATTAACCTAATAGTTACTGAGTCATCTAGTAAGAATTATAACTATTCCAATGTTCTTATATCTTATAGAGCTACGTGACTCTTTCACACTTTTTTAGCTATTATTTAGATAGTTTACAAAGAATGGTGATACTGCTAAGGGTAAGGCTTAGCATTTTTATAAGTTATTAATTCTTCTAACAGTACTAAGACTTCGTGTAAAAATGACTTATCTCTGAACAGGTAAGTAATATTTCTTCAGAAACAATTCCTTAAACCAAGCTAAAATGTAATATATAAAACATTTTCTTGTGTAATTAATTATAATGTAACATACAATTATAAATTCAGAAAACTCATTAAAATGTTATCCAAATAATGTCTCTCCTCATTAAAAGTTCGTCAGATGGAACATTTGATTGCAAACATTTTAACTTTTGTGTCAATACCTTCATAAGATAATGTCGAAGTTAGATTCCTTAATTTTTGTTATTATACACTATGATGTGATCACGACTGAAAACAAGACTGTTATTGTAAGCTCAGCTCTGATCACGACTGAAAACAAGACTGTTATTGTAAGCTCAGCTCTAATCACAGCTAAAAACAATACTGTTATTGTAAGCTCAGCTCTGATCACGACTGAAAACAAGACTGTTATTGTAAGCTCAGCTTTGGTCACGACTGAAAACAAGACTGTTATTGTAATCTCATCTCTAATCACGACTAAAAACAAGACTGTTATTGTAAGCTCAGCACTGATCACGACTGAAAACAAAACTGTTATTGTAAGCTCAGCTCTGATCACGACTGAAAACAAGACTGTTATTGTAAGCTCAGCTCTGATCACGACTAAAAACAAGACTGTTATTGTAAGCTCATCTCTCTCTTCTAAATCATAGTTAATCTTTGTCTTAACTTTGCATTGTATTATTAATAGCGAATACACCCCAACCTCCAACACCTCCAACTACTTATATTTTTAGAGTTAACATGTGTTATTTTTTATTTTCTGAATACAATAAATGAATAGGTGAACCAAAAAATAAAAATAAAAGAATTAACATTTTAATATAACGAATGCTTCGCAACGCCACAAAAACAAACCTAGTTACGTTGGCAGTACCAGAAGAAACATGCCTAAAATATGACTTGTATAAGTTGCTTACAAAAGCAACAGTTTCTTCTTAAATAATAAATAATTATATAAGAAATCAACACCAAGCTATAGATGCATTTTCATGTAATAAAATTAAACGAAATTTGAAACGTGTAAAAAGAAGGTAAGTTAAATACTTTAAGTAAGAAATTTTACGTCTGCTTTACTATATTAAATCAATTTATGTTTTGATAATTTTAAACCTTCATGGCAAAAAAATTAACCAGTAGCTGAAACATGTAAAATGAAGTAAATTTGATATTTTATGCACTTAGATCACACATTGGCAATAATTTTCACAACTGATTATATTAATTCATTATTAATCATGTTAGTTTTGATTATTTTAAGTATTAGTGCCATTGCATATTTAGAATGAATTAATAGGACGTTCTTGTTATGGGACACGTATGCATGTTCTTATCAAATGTGTAAATCCAAGATTTCCAATGGATTTGAAGTTCTTAAACTGAACATATACAATGAATAATGAACTTTCTCGACTCGATTTCACCTCGTTCTGCACCTTCCATAAGTTTGAGTGTTTATCTATACAAATACTGATATGCACTTACCACCACGTGGCGTTGGTGACAGGCACGAGGAACAGGAGGGTTACGCAGAGAATCGTTGACAGATGAACAACGGATATTTCACCGTGATCTTTCCTCTTATACATGGTCATTTGCCTTATATTCTGAGCGATAGAGATGCAAGATCAGTCAGTGTCCAAGTTTGATTTAGCCGTACGCTGAATGTCCATGAGTTGAGCGGACAACTACAATAGCCATGATATCACTCACCATATGAGAACGGTAAAGTAAGGCTTATATCAGCAGGAAAGACTTCAGCCCTACTAATACATCTTTAAACTAATGAATGTGATGTTTATCTTCAAGCACCACGAAACTGATATAGAACATTCTTTGCTAATGAGCCTCTTTCAAGTACAAGCATTTGTAAGTCTGCGAGTCTCTATCGGGCCGTTTGGAATAAACCGCGTTTATTTCGTCCGGAATTTTCAGTTTTTGAAATATTTGAAGTAGTTTCAGTCAGTTTTTACAAAAAGAAAATATTTTCATCGAAGTCATCCTTCTAAGTTCTCGTGAATTGCGTATGTTATCTTTTTTACAACACTACTGTCGTGGTTTGAAGTTCTTTGCAGGTATGTGTTGTCTATAATGCTACTTGTTGTTTCTAAACACCTACGTATGAGCTTAGTCTTTACAGCGTGTTACTTCGGAAGTCTACCGCGTACTATCGGGATTCATGATAGCACCGTGAACCTGATACAGCCAATGAGAGGGGGGTGTGCACATGCGTCGCCTGGGTAACTCTGGCAATGGCATCCTGCCGCTGAGTTAAAGAAAGGCTGGCCAATTGGAGGGATTTAGTATCACGATGCGTCGGAATGATGCTCAGAATGGAACTTGATAGGAACCACTTTCTTTCGGTCAGGGATGCATGGTTAGAATGTTTTCTTACACCTGTGGCTATGAACGGCTACTGTAGGAAGCCCTGTGCAGCTAGAAAGACTACGTTTATACTCAGAACATAACAGTAAATGTCACATCGGTCCATATGAAGATTTCTGAGATAATCTCAGAGATAATATTTAAAGATTATTTTAAATAGTTGGTTCATTTTTAAAGAATGATACTTAATATCAGGATGAACATACATTTATTTGTATTAGCTCAGAAGTTGTTAGTAGGTTGAATTCAAACATAAAATAGTTAAGGGGATTATAAATCATGACTAAATTTTGAACCTTATACGTTGTTTCTTAATAATAAGAATTATCTATACAAACCCAAAATCTAATTAGCTTAAACTGAATAACGTCTAATATTTTTAGCCATTGCGTAAAATTTCAATGTGTAGAAGTTTACTGATTTTTAAAAGTGGCCAACCTATCATATTGAGCGTTAGTATTTCATGACCAGATTCTTGATGCTACACAATGTCGTAGTTTGATTTTGAACGCGACATTTAACTATTGTAACGTTGAGTCTCGTGACATCTTGAAAGACGTTATCTTACATCTTGTAAACCGAAAGCTTTGACTTGCCTTTCTTTTTGTCGTTAATTCTATGAGTTTTAGGCTTACAGTTTAATAGAGCCAATAAGAATAAAATCAACTTCTCACCATGTAAATATGTATAATGAAAACAAATATTTAACTTGAAACTCCTTTGAAAACTAGGATTTTTATTTGCAACGTTCAAAGGAAAACTTCCAAGGAAATTAGTAGCTCACCAAGCTGAAGAATGATCCATTCAAACTAGTAAAAAAAAACAACACCAGACCTGGTGTAGAAAAACTATGTATACTCGAAGTGGAAAAACTACATTAGACCTGGAGTAGAAAATTACGTTTGACCCAAAGTACAAAAACTACTTCCAACCTGAAGTAGAAAAACTACTTCTGACCCGAAGTAGAAAAACTACGTCTGACCCGAAGTAGAAAACTACGTCTGACCTGAAGTAGAAAAATTACTTTCGACCTGAAGTAGAAAAACTACGTCTTAGCTGAAGTAGAAAAAACTACGTCTGACCTGAAGTAGAAGACCTACTTCTGACTCGAAGTAGAAAGACTACTGTACCAAATAAGAAAAAACTACGTATGAGTGATAACAGATAATATATTGATAGTAGATATACTAACCTATGTGTATAATTATGCTGTGAACGTAAACCCCACAGCAGGGTTCAAAAGAAGTTTGACTTTTATACACATCAAACAAAAAATCACCCCAGGTCTGATGTAGTTTTTTTTACTTCGGGTCACACGTAGTTTTTCTACTTTGGGTCAAAATTAGTTTTTTTTATTCTAGGTCAGAAGTAGTTTTCTACTTCTGGTCAAAATTAATTTTCTATTTCGGGTGAAAAAATATCATAATGAAACTTTTAACCTGATTTGTTCGATGAATGATTCTGGGAATTATTTGTATTTTTTATTTGTTTGTTGTTAAGCACAAGACTACACAAGAGGTTATCAGTGCTCTTCCTACCATGAGTATTGAACCAGATTTTTAAAAACCCACAGACATACCGCTGAGCCAGAGTTATTTGTATCAGTCATTAAAACTTTATGATAATTTTACAAATACAACAAGATCACTTTTATTAGTATATAAAGATATATACATTTTTTCATAGGCATTGAATATATGGATAACCAATACTGATGAACCTAAAAATATTTTTACAGCATATACATTAATTTAACATAATAAATATTTAAAATATAAATTATTATATAGTAAATATTTGTAATCTATACTTAATATCTTATCTATTCAAACTTTATTTGCGTATTATCAATAATACATATAATTATATAGTAGCAGACAAATGTATTCGCACCTATGCTTATTATGATATTAGTGAAGGTGGGCACAGCACAAATAGCCCAATGATAACTTTGTGCTTAACTACAAACAAACACACTTTCTACAAATTCAATAAATAATTTCTGTAAAAAAATGTTCTGTTTAAAGTATTCAAAATGTTCTGTTTAAAGTATTCAATATGTTCTGTTCAAAGTATTCAAAATGTTCTCTTTAAAGTATTCGTTTAGGTCAAAAGTAGTTCGGTTTGTTTTGAATTTCGCGCAAAGATACACGAAGGCTATCTGCGCTAGCCGTCCCTAATTTAGCAGTGAAAGACTAGAAGGAAGGAAGCTACTCATGACCGCCCACCACCAACTCTTGGGCTACTCTTTTACCAGCGAATAGCGGGATTCACCGGCACATTATAACGCGCCCACGGCTGAACGGGCGAGCATGTTTGGTGTGACGGAGATTCGAACCTGCGACTCGCAGATGGCGAGTCGAGCGCCCTAACTACCTGGCCATGCCGGGTCGGATAAAAGCACTAACACCCCTGCTTTAATTTTTTTCGTGTGTCCTTCTTTTGCTTATATTACAGCTTCCAAACAATTATGATAATTCTCAAGCAGTGAAGAAGATCTTGTTGGAGAAATCTGGACCCATTTTATCTTGCATATTTCCTACAGCTCAGACAGATTGGATAAACAATGTTTAGCTACGGTTTTGTTTTGTTTTTTGCCTTTCTCTTCGATTTATTCAAGAATCCCAAAATTGACTTAGCCATTGTCGTATTGTAACACAAACCTTCTTCTAATCAGCCTACGAGCAGATATTATGATTTCACTTTGTAGAATGTTTCGATACATGGCTGCATTCATTCGCTCTTCATTCACATCAGCGTCTCCACTTCCTGCACTGCCAAAACATTCTTATAACCTCCAAGTTTAACTGAAGGTAAAAGTTGCTTTTTCATTGAAGGCCTTCCCCCTTTTTTTGTCACCAAATATACTGATTTTAAAGGGAAAATTTATATTTTAGTCTCGTAGGATCAGAGAAATTTGTGGAAGAAAACGTCCACAATTGTTTTCATATTTCGTGGCAAATGTTAAACGGTTTGTTGTAGGAATTGTCTCCAGAAAGAGTTGTGCATACGACTCTTCCAGTACAAATGTCTTTGCATAGTTCTGCTCTATTATGTCCGATGGAACTAAATCTTTATTTAAGTCCTCGTCTGCTGGTATTAAAAGTTTTTAGCTGCTCGAACGATTCTTCTACATACCCGTAATTTTCTTTGGAGTTCCACTTCTTTCAAGAGTTTCAGCTGAGTTTGCTCTGTGATACTTTTTTTAATTATTGCTCTAATTGTGCATTTTGGTACTTCATATTTACCTGGTACTGTTCAGTAGCCATTTCCTTTGTTGTAGTCTCCTCCAATTGTTTTTCTCAAGCATAAGTCCAACTCTTTTGTCTTGACCATCATCTGCTGTGTTGCCAGAAATTTCTTCTTCTTCAACAGATGTTGGCAATCATTACCTCTTTTCAAGCTCTAATGCAGCTTAATTACCGTGCAATTGTTTTCAAACAATTAATATATTTTTTAATTAGTTCTATTGAGCTCTTGTAGACTTTTAATGAAAGGTAACAATACTTTTGCCACGAACAATTATTTGAAATTACTTAAGTTATTTTCTACTTGTTTTAAAGAGTGTTAGTTAAACTAATATAAATTGTGTATTTTGTTCATTGACGCATTAATTAATGACTAACGTTCACTAATTGCTTGTATTTCACATGTTCTCTTGAATTATCTTATACTAAGTGTATGGTGAGACAGTATAAGCCCCCATTGGCTCAGCGTTAAGTCTGGAGATTTATAAGGCTATAAACCAGGTTTCGATACCCGTGGTGGACATAGTACAGATAATCAATTGTGTAGCTTCAGGTTTCGATACTCGTAGTGGACACAGTACAGATAATCAATTGTGTAGGTTCAGGTTTCGATACCCGTAATGGACATAGTACAGATAATCAATTGTGTAGCTTTATGCTTATTAACAAAGAAGCAACAGTGCGTCTAGTAAATAACATTTATTATAGTTAGTTTAAACTTTATGAAGCAAACATGATCCACACTCGAGTAAATCTTTTTGGATCATAATGTGTATTGTAAATATTTTTTTTAACTCTCAATGATGTTTATCAATAATAACAATTCATTAATATATATAAAACTGAACACTGTAGCAAAGATATCTTAAAGTAGCTTTCACCAAAGTATCAAATAGAATATGTAGGTTCAAGTGTTTGATGTGATCTCAGCTCATTCATCAAATGACAGAGAGAGAAACACAAAGAAATTATGTAATCATACATTAAAGTGTCAATGTGTAATCCATGTCAATTTTTAGTGCTACGATTATACAGAATGAAAAACAAAATGTACAACCATCAGTCGGAGTAAATTTTAATTCCATATTTTCTGTCTATATTCTATTGAAGTTAATAATTTGTAAGCTTCATTTTAACTTGAAAACAACATTTTTAAAGAAATTACGATGTAATTTCTTTTTTTTTTTTACTTCTTTGGGTAAATGGATAGACAACATTTTTGAACTTTATTGAGGAAATGGGGTTCCTTTGGCTTTCCTACTGTTTATGGAAAGGTCTTTCATGTTTAGTTTCAACCTAAAAATGGTTACATCTGAATACATGTGTAAATATTAAGTTTACAATAAACTCACGCCAGCCAGTCTCCTTTGAAATACTGTGTGAAGAAGGAGATGAAAATTAAAATTGGCGTCTGAAAGATGCACAACTATATATAGCTCAGTATCTAAATAGTAATACTACACTTTTCTGCGACTGAGGTATGACTTCTCTAGTTAATGACGTCATTTCCGGAAGTCAGTGTCACAAGAATTTTA